AAATTGGGGATTACACTGTGTGTGTAACTAATGGGCGGTACATAATTATATACATATTTTAAATAATTAAAACATTTTTCAAGCAGGCAGGGGCAGGGCCCATATGGACTGCGTTCAGCTGTTGAGATGAGTAGACTGAGGCATCCTGGGCACCTCAGGTTCTCTCTTCACCATGACAGTCCAGACACAGCGCCCGCATCACTGCAAAAGCTGCACCAAAGCCTCGGTCAATCTCACGCTCCATTCTACCTGTACGCATGATATTAAAATCCAGACATTTTATAATGTTTGATTAAAATGAATTATTGGAAACACCTCCTATGCTGTCATGGTTTTTGGCCACTCTTCCAAATTTCCCTTCTTCGTATGACATGACATCCTCTCATATGTCTGTAGAAATACTGTAGGTGATATGAAAACATCACACTTGGGCATTGTAGCCACAGCAGAGGCTGTTCTTTATAGCAACCTTCAATCAACAAAATAACAACTATTGAACAGGATGTTCTGTATTTCAGGGATATCAAAGGATGAACACTGGGGACTGTTTTTCATTTTCCCAATACTCTGTGAGCATTTTGGATAGGCGCTGTTTGGTTGTGAGACTTGCACCATATAATTCCCCCTGAATATTTTCTGTTACAAGTTTTGGTTATTTCTCCTGTGAAACTTGGACACATTAATCGAGGTTAAGTCACTGTGAACACATTGTAATCAGGATTTGTTTTGTCTCAGTAAAATCTAAACTCATCTTTTAGACATGACATACAGTCAGGTCCATAATTATTTGGACAATGATACAGTTGTCATCATTTTGGCTCTGTACACCACCACAATGGGTTTTAAATGAAACAATGAATACGTGCTTAAAGTGCAGACTCTCAGCTTTCATTTAAGGCTTTTTTCAAAAATGTAGTATGAACCGTGTAGGAATTACAACCATTTCTTCACACAGTCCCCCAACTTTAAGGGCTCATAAGTATTTGGACAAACTAACATAATCATCAATAAAACAGTCAGTTTTAATACTTGGTTGCAAATCCTTTACAGTCAATGACTGCCTGAAGTGTTGGACACATAGGCATCATCAGATGCTGGGTTTCTTCCCTGGTGATGCTCTGCCAGCCCTTTACTGCAGCCGTCTGCACTTCCTGCTTGTGTTTTGGGTGTTTTGCCCTCAGTTTTGGCTTCAGCAAGAGAAACACATGCTCAGTTGGATTCAGGTCAGATGATATGACTTGGTCATTGCAGAACATTCCACTTCTTTGCCTTAAAAATGTCTTTGGTTGCTTTTGCAATATGCTTCAGGTCAATGTCCATCTGCACTGTGAAGCATCGCCCAATGAGTTTTGAAGCATTTGGTTGAATCTGAGCAGATAATGGTGCCCCAAACACTTCAGCTTTCATCCTGCTGCTCTTGTCAGCAGTCACATCATCAATAAATACAAGAGAACCAGTTCCACTGGCAGCCATACATGGCCATGACATAACAGTACCTCCACCATGCTTCACTGATGAGGTGGTGTGCTTTGGATCATGAGCAGTTCCTTCCCTTCTTCCTTCTCTTGTCTTCCCATCATTCTGGTAGTTGATCTTTGTTTTATCTGTCCATAGTATGCTGTTCCACAACTGTACAGGCTTTTTAGATGATTTTTGACAAACTCTAATCTGGCCTTCCATTTTTAAGGCTAACCAATGGTTTGCATCTTGTGATAAACCCTCTGTATTTATTCTAGTGAAGTCTTGTCTTGCTTACAAGAGCAGCAGGATGAAAGCTGAAGTGTTTGGGGCACCATTACCTGCTCAGATTCAACCAAATGCTTCAAAACTCATTGGACGATGCTTCACAGTGCAGATGGGCATTGACCTGAAGCATATTGCAAAAGCAACCAAAGACATTTTTAAGGCAAAGAAGTGGAATGTTCTGCAATGGCCAAGTCATATCATCTGACCTGAATCCAACTGAGCATGCGTTTCTCTTGCTGAAGCCAAAACTGAGGGCAAAACACCCAAAACACAAGCAGGAAGTGCAGATGGCTGCAGTAAAGGGCTGGCAGAGCATCACCAGGGAAGAAACCCAGCATCTGATGATGCCTATGTGTCCAACACTTCAGGCAGTCATTGACTGTAAAGGATTTGCAACCAAGTATTAAAACTTAATTGATGATTATGTTAGTTTGTCCAAATACTTATGAGCCCTTAAAGTTGGGGGACTGTGTGAAGAAATGGTTGTAATTCCTACACGGTTCATACTACATTTTTGAAAAAAGCCTTAAATGAAAGCTGAGAGTCTGCACTTTAAGCAGGTATTCATTGTTTCATTTAAAACCCATTGTGGTGGTGTACAGAGCCAAAATGATGACAACTGTATCATTGTCCAAATAATTATGGACCTGACTGTATTTCTCTCTCTCCCTGCCTCCTACACTTGCTCACACCGTTAAATAACAAGCCCAGAGTTACTACCCAGTGAAACCAATTCACAAAGGGGGAATCCTGGTCAGAGTGTGCTGACAGGCGTGCATATTCACAGGGGAGTAGTGGGGAGGGGAGATTATTAAGGCCAAAGATTAACTGATGGCAATAAAAGATTCATGTTCACGGCAAAGTTCATTAAAATCTTCAAAGGTTTTTTTTTTCCGTTTTAGACAGGGTCAGAGGGATAGTAGAGGAGGGCATGAGAAAGTAAGAGGGAGACAACCGCAAGAGCCGCGACTTTCCCTAAAACGTCCAGATGTGTTATTTCATGTGTGTGTTTTGAGTGAGCAGCCTTGTAATAATGCAAACTGTATCCACTTATATGTGTGCCTGTTGTTAAATCTGCTTTGTGGGTGTATTACAACAGAATTAATGAAGTAAGATACTGTACACTTGTTCTTCATTAAGCAGAACATGTTGAGCATTTTTGTGCGCATGTTTTTTTCAAAAATGTGTGTCTCTCAAATCCATGGGTGGTATGTAGCAGCCATTTAACAAACAAACAGTAATTAGTTCCTGTAATGGTTCTCCATTACATTTCTCAGCGGCCAAACTCTTTGAGAGGCAACCCAAGCACTGTTGCATTATAATTAACAATAGCTTGTGTATTCCCCCAGAGGTGGCAATTTATGGGTGAGGGGTAGAGCGGGAGAGAGGGGGGACTAGACAGAGAGAAATAAAAAAAATAAAAATACAAGCGAGACTGACTCATGTTCTTTTTCATTTCGACTTCTTTTTTCGTGTCTCCCTTTTTCTTGATATAGTTGTAAATATAAACCATGTGCAGTTAGCCAAGCCATCTTGCTCAGCACTTGGAGCCGTGTGCCGTCTAAACTGCTTTCCACCCCCACTCTTCTCACATTTGTTGGTAATGGCCAATTCCCCTTCTTCTATTTTTATTCCATGTCAATTACATGTTGTTGCCAACTCCCACTGTTGGCCCATGGAGAATTTAGATCCAAATCACTCAGTTATAAAGGAAGAAATATTGTGATCCACTGTATAGCTGGCCAGTTCATGAATGCTCTGTTCACCGTCCAATGTCCGCCTCTGCAGACCTAATCAGCTCTCACTGGGAGTTACCAAGACAGTAACAAAGGCTTGATCGTTCACCATGTCCCCTCATGCAAACGTAAGAGTGCCAAGCCAGAAGCACCACAGTTAGAGATTTAATCCAGGTCAGTGGATGAGCGAATGCTCTCAATGCTGTTCTTCTTTCACCCCGATGTCAAGAAAAAATTATGGTTTAGTTTTAGATTGCAGGCTGTGATATACAGTGGAACATCTAGAGTATGTGAGCAGGCTAGCCATTAGGAATAATGCACAGGAGGACGATTTTTTCCAAATTGGGTCCCTCATCCACATCCACTCCGAAGGAGGCAGAGGGGAAGCAGTTTCCAATATGGCAGTCGCCAATATGCACACACACAGATTTTGCTCAGGCACGCCAAGTTCATGGTGTTGAATTTCAAATAGCGGGCATCACAATAGCAGAAATAACCACAAATGCCACTTTTTCCCCCACCAAAATTTTACCTAACTTTGCCCCTTCCCAACAAGATAGCGTGACATGATTGGTACCAATGGGGGCCTCGGTAGTCGATAAATCAGAGTCGTTATTCACGACTACCAATCCAAAACATGGACACCGCAGCAAACTGATGTTTGTATGACAAGTCCCTGAGCTTCACAAGCATACCAGAGGACCTACGTCACTTATGTCAGCACCATCAGCGAAGAGAAACAGCGTAAACTGTCTCAGTCGTCTTTGGTCATTCAGATAACATACAACAGCACAGAGTTTGGTAAACAGAAGCCAAGTGTAATAGCCTGAACCGTGTATGGGTTTTGCTATGGATGAAGACAGAGACAGAGATACAAAAAAAAAAGTGAGGTAATGTCAATGGTGAATGGACCTGCATTAGCGCCTTTCTAGTCACTCGACCACTCAAAGCACTTTGTACACTTTGAGTCCCATTCCCCCATTCACACACATTCATACACTGGTGGCCGAGGCTACCACACAAGGTGCCATCTTCCGATTGGTGGACGACCTGCTCTACCTCTGAGCCACAGCCGCCCTTTGTGTGTGAGCATGGAGTCATATTGGTTTTGGTTTCTTACCTTGGACTGGCATTGGACAAAAGGATAAGCTCCTAATTTTTGACATTGATCAACAGTTTTACTCCAAAGTCATGTTAAAAAGTGTGATCATTGCAGTAGATGATATGGCAGTGTACTTCGATGCTGTCCGTCTGCTGTCCCTGTGCGTACTTGTTGCACAGACAGCATGCTGTTAAAAACACTGCATTGCTACATCCATTACAACAAATACAGCCACCAAAAAAAGACAACTAAAAGGTGACTGCAGTATCACCACAGCAGTAATACCCAGGGGATAAACTGAGCCCCATTTGTGATGTGAAGCTGACTATTCAGGCAGAGTCTGCATGATGCTCACAGTGAATTGATGACTGAGAAACAATGTGAATACTAACTCTTCTCACCACTTGTCTCTCCAGGTCCCTCCAGGACTTATCCAAGCAGACAGAGTTGCCTTATGGAACAGTGTTGGACTCCGCAGTATACGATCAGGTGCGCTCCAAGGCTATGAACCCCTTCGAGAGAGATCCCATGTACTCCCACATGTGGCGGATGATTAACCGCACCGGAGGAGGAGATAATAACGTTGAGGAGTCAAAAGAAGGCATTCGCAAGGTAGGTCTTTACTTTTTTAATTAGTTGTCAGTTCTGAACAAAGGGCCAGTGACACAAGTAAAATGACTGTGGTTAGTAAAACAAACATTGGAGTCAAATGACTCCTGCGAAGGGTTTTGAATACAGGACCAGGTGCAGAAAAGCGGCAACATCAAAGTGATTATTTATTACTTGGTGCGAAGCATTCACATTCAAGCCATCATTTGCCATCACCTGACCTTGTCACAATTAACCATTACCAATTAACAATTAACCAGTCATATTTAACCACTTTGTTAGGGGGTCACATTAGAATTATTACCAGCAATAACATCTACTGTTAACTTGAGTGTGACCTGATTTTGCCAAGTAGGACATGCTCCTGGATCAAGAACCCACATTGCAATCCTGACCCAACATTGGAATCAACCAATCACAGCCCTCTGACATCATCAACGTGCTGCATGTACTTCTTTCAAAATTCCTTTGTGCTTCCTCTGAGCTAAGGTAGTTTTTCAAATTGAAGTTAGTACAAGTAAACAAAATCATCAGTAACATTAAACAAAAACCTTATAAGCGACTGTAGGGTTAGCGAGTTAGCTTGCTAACGATATTGGCTATGCTAACAAATAAGCTTGCCAATAGGCTAAAATATTGTTCATTAATCAGGGTTCAACGCTAAGGTTTTTTTTCACTTGCCCGGTCGGCCAAGTTGGTCACAGATCTACTTGCCCGAAGTCAGTTTTTACTTGCCCTATAAAAATTGTTTAATTTAAGCGGCTATCAATTAACAAAGACTGCAGTTATTTTCATGTTATGTAATCTTTATTCACACTGTATTTAATAATTAAAACAACATATGTCATGTATTGTAGCTTAATTCCTACACAAATATGACAGTGTCAGGGCTTAAAGTGAAAAATGTGTCAATCGTTCTCTCATTTCACCCCTCTCTCCAGTTGTGCTGTATTAACACCGGGTTTAATATACTTTGCTTCCATCTCTCTGCCCTGCTCTACTCTACTTCAACGCTACTTAGCTCTCTCTCTACTCTACCAGTAGACTACCACATCCACCTGTTGCACAAAACGCACACAGCAGTGTTTCCCCTAGGATGGAGTTGTAGCAGCGGAGGTGAAGCACACGCATGAAAAACAATTTTCACATGCATGAAACTTTTTTGTATGCTTGCAAAGCACAGCCTGCTGGGATGTTTCTGTGTATCTTCTGGCACCAGAAGGGCTCTTTAGGACTAAGTACTTATAGTACATGTGTGCACAGTAATGAGCAGGTGAAATGTCTGTCTAGCTTACATATGAGGTGTCTCAAGATTTAGGAACATACAATTTTATTGAATATAATAAAGTAAAAAGTCACTTGACATGCTGCTGTTTTGTGCTATGACCTATTTAAGTGCTGGAAGTTGTTATTTAAGTGACAACGCCTGAACGCAACACAAGCTCAGCATGAGTGCCGTGCTACGCTGCTCGGAGTGCAGCGTGTTTGTCTGTGCGTAACAGCAATCTGATGTTTATTTACACACTGTCCATAACAAAACTTTGTCAGCTGACAAACTGCACCGGGCTCGGGGTCAGGTTTGGTCAGGAAAATGCGGCCCGAGCCACTCTAGCGTGCTCACCTGTGTGTGTGGCGAAACTCCGCTGTGCACGATACAGAGAGCAGAGGAGAATTGTTAATGCGTGACCATGTAGAGACAGAAATGACACGATGACATAACACCATAAATAGTATGTTGTTATGTTATTATATGAAGCGTTCGTCGCACAAAATAATATCAATGGGCGCTGTGGGCAGGACATTGTTACACAGCTGTGCCTGTGACTTCAGGCAGAGAGACCGCTGCATCAGAGCCGAAGGAGCACGTTTTAAAATACATTTATTTTATCAATTAGTTATTAACTTTTACTATTTTTAGCAACTTGCCCGATCGGGCAAGGGAGTTGTTAGTTTACATGCCCGACCTTGAGTTTTACTTGCCCCGGGCAATCGGGCAGTCCTTACTGTTGAGCCCTGTTAATTAACATTAAGAGTTAGGGTAATGTCATTTTGGAGTTGCAAAGACCTGCGAAGGACACATTGTCCCTCCTTTTTAATAGCTTATTCAAAACTATTTTTTGCAAGATTGCAGTGCTCGTGTTGATGCCATGTTGACCCTGGATAATTTGTTTGTTGATCCAGGACCATCATTGCTTTGTCGATATTGATTTAAACAAATTATCCAGAATCAGCGTGATGATGATGATGACGATGATCCTTAATTGTAGGAATTTGCAACTACAAATGTTAATTTCCTCACTCTCTTTTTGTGAACAGCTTGCTTGTTAGCATAGCCTACCTACTTAGCAAGCAAACTTGCTAACATTCTAGCCTTTTGGCAAACTTACTTGTTGGCATAGCCTAACCATGCAGTGGCTTATAAGGTTTTTGTTCAGTGTTACCGAGGATTTGTTTAATTGTATTAGATGAAATGTGGAAAACTAGCTTGGCTCTGAAGTAAAGGAATTTTGAAAGAAGTACAGGAGCAGCAATGATTGCAATGTTGGTCCAGGAACGCCAGGGGATGTTGTTCCGGGAGCATGTCCTGCTTGGCAAAATCATGCCGTGCGTTAACTTGACGTGAACATATTTGATAGTATAAGGTGACATTTGCCCAGGAAACCAGGGGAGTCTTGTAATGTAATCACACTGAAAGAATTGTCATGCATCCTTGCTCTTACAGAGAGCAATTTCACTTGAGAGCATTGCTGCCCAATGTTACACTAAATGTCCAAACCAATAAGTCATGTGGCGATGGCAGAGCATACTGTGTGCAAATGCTGTTGTCACTGAATAACATGGGCATCTGGTAAATACCATCACATTGCTCTGCACATAAGGATACACTGCAACTGTTTTATGTGATGTAATAATAAATAATAATGCTAAAATGTGTATTTTCTTTTTTAGACCAGAAATTTATGTTTGCATGCTACCTGTTGTTTACATTTGCCGCACTAACTGTACAGTTTTTCTGATGTCATGTCAGTACCAGTAAGAATTTACTGTATTTAACACAGCTTACTGAATTTTCTAATGGCATACAGTATATCCTTAGTGTACACAGCTCAGCCTCAGTCCTGTTTTGATATACAGCTCATGCTGCAGGGTCGTCTGTGTTGATAGGGGATAAATCTATCTAAACGATGTTAACGATACACAGATAACGCGTGCATGGTTAAATACTTAATTCCCTTGGTGATTACCCAGTATCATAAATACCTGACTGCTGCATCTCATTTGCACGCATCCCGCTTTCTGTACGCATCGCCCATCTCTCCTCCACTGAGGGTCTCACTTTATCCCTCCTCCCTCTAGAATATATTAGACTTGAACTGAAGCCAGCATTGGAAGCTTTCGAAGTGCTAGGAGGAGTGATTAAAGTGGCGGGTGGTGTTTTCTAAATGATGAGATGAATGCAGCACATAACAGCACATAAGCACACAACTATTAACACTCCCTCACACATTGCTCATTGGCAGAGGTGTTTATTGAGCATATATGACTAGTGAGTAGCGTGTCCGGGATCATGCCTTTCGTTTAATGCTAATGAGAGCTTTGTGTGTATAAATTAAAGATACATTAATCCTCATGATTACCAACTTGACATCGGCAGCTTGGCAAAACACACACAGCCTCTGATATAACTGAACTGGCATACATATTTTTATAGTATACAACATATCATAATATTGTAAATCAGATGAATAAAATGCTCATGTTCTTAATGCAGGGTAAAATTCTCATATCCTTTGTCTTCAAATAAAATTCAAATTTAAAGGGACAGTACACTCTTAGATCTAAAATGTTTTCCCTCTTACCTTTAGTGCTGTTTATCAATCCAGATTGTTTTGGTTTAGGATGCAGAGTGTTGGAGGTATCGGCTGTAGAGAGCCTTTTCTGGATTGCTGTCTAGGCTGAGGAGTTAAAAACCATGTTAGAATGTGTCATCATTGCAATATATGAGGTAGCAGTGTGGTTTGTCATGCCATCTGCTGCCACTGTGTATACAACATGCCAGGCCAACAAGTACAGAGTCAAGCTCTATGTTGTTTTCCACTGATTGGTTACAGAGAGTGGTGGGATAGATCAGTTTCACCCTGTGTGTACATCAGTGCCACATCCCAGCTTCCAGAGGTGACTGCAGTATCACTACAACAGCAATATTGATCATCTGAGCCTCCAGCGTGATGTGGAGCTGACCAATCAGACAGAGTCTGCATGATGCTTACAATAAATGCATGGCCAGAGAGACTGACAGACATCACACTGTTGGGGAAAAGCACCAGTCTGCTGTTTGCTAGTTAACAAGTGTGGCTGCTGCAGCATCAGACCAAATAGAGGATGATCAGACCTGAAATATATTTAAAGCATGTGTGGATGCTGATCAGATTCACAGATTGAACCACCTCACCCACTGCTTTAAAGGAGGATCTGGTGCACATTGCCTTATCAACCTAGTACACACAAGTACATGTAGCACAGTAGTATTAAAGGGTCAGTTCACCCCAAAATTGAAAATACATATTTTTCCTCTCACCTGTAGTGCTGTTTATAAATCTAGATTATTTTGGTGTGACTTGCCGAGTGTTGGAGATATCAGCGCAGAGATGAGTCCCTCATCTTCAGTATCAAGGAACTAGATGGTACTCGGCTTGTTGTGCTCAAAGAACCAAAACTACATTTAAAAAAACGTAACAGCAATGTCTCTTTTCAGAAATTATGATTTGGATACTCAAGATAATCTACAGACTTTGTTGTGAGTGGTTTCATGAAGGAACTATTTTCTTTCTACCATAACCAACCATATCACCACGGCCAACTATATCACCACGCAAAGAGTGGTGTGCATCTATTGTTAGCTCTCCTAGCAACACGTTCTAATTCCAACCTCGTCACTTATTGAGGTTTCGTCATGGACTTTCCACGTCCAGATATGACGTGCAAAATACCCTGGCTGTTGA